AACAACATCCTGAAGGGGCAATAAAGGGAACAAGTGGAAAGACTAAGAAACATGCACACTACCAGCACTGTGCAATAAATCGCAGTTTCCCAGTGGGGTTGTACACTAAGTGTTTGGCTTTGTAGTTTGTTTTCTTGTTTTGAGCCTTCCAGGACTTGACCCCGTGACCTGTAACTTGTGTGTTTTGTTTGTCCAGGCTACCCCGATAACTTATGTACAGGCCCTATTTTCTGCAGGTCACAAGGACTGGAAGGCCTTTGGCAGAGCAGCCTTGGATCTGGAGGCCAAACTCCAAATCCGGTCCACTTCCCAGGCGGGAAGCACCTCCCCTTCACAGAGTCAGAGGAAGAGCAAAGGGAGGTGACCTGTAACTTGTGCGTTTTGTTTGTCCAGGCTACCCCGATAATTTATGTACAGGCCCTATTTTCTGCAGGTCACAAGGACTGGAAGGCCTTTGGCAGAGCAGCCTTGGATCTGGAGGCCAAACTCCAAATCCAGTCCACTTCCCAGGCGGGAAGCACCTCCCCTTCTCAGAGTCAGAGGGAGAGCAAAGGGAGGTGGCACGCTGTGGAGTCTGCGAAAGACTCTGCAGGCTTTGACCAGAGAGGATTGACTCCCTCACCTGGTCATGGCGCAGGAGGCTTCCCAGACCAGGCCATTCTGACTTTGGCTCAGGAACTGGTAAGCGCAATGAAAGGCGCAAATCAGCTCCAGAGACAAAGGTCCCCCTCTCCTATGGGGTCTGGCAAACGCCCCTGTGGACGTCAGAAGCAAAATCTGCCCAAGTTTGCCAAATGTCCAGCTAACCCCATGGATCCCTCCTCTCTCCCATGGAGGGACTTGCGTATCCCAGACGAGCTTATGGCAAAAGAGGAAGGATGCCGGCGTCTGCCTTAGATGTGCTGGGTTACACTTTGTAAGTATTGCCCTTCATGGGGCAACCACTATGCTGTAACCTGACCCAGTCAGCAGCGTATTCCGCTGAACTGAGTGTCCCTTTGTTGAAGAAGGACAGGTGCAGTTTGGTTGTTTGTAACCTACCTGTGTGTGTTCAGCTGATGGAAACCTTCTTCTGGTATAGCTATCTTGAGCCTGATTCCTTCACTGATCCCATTGATTTGTCTGTGCATCCCTTGTGCTCGAGAAAGGCTATGCTAAGTTCCGGGCTTGTTCAAGTTGCTCAAACACTGCTGATAGACAAATTGTTAATTGGACATCTTCTCTTGACGATGAATCAGCCCCAAGACTCCTGCATACTTCGCTGAACACTTGTTTTTGGTTGTTTGGGGTTGTTGTAAATGCGGTTGTGATTCTTGGAACAAGTACTCTGGATTGATTGGAGGAGGATGAAAACCCGGTAGGACCAGGGCCCCCACCCCCAACCGGAACCAGGCCGGCTTCCCTCGGGTGGGCCATAGCGCATCGAAGTAGGGGGATCGGTTGGATTTTTTTTGGAGCCAGGGGGCCTCCACGGCCTGCGTGGAGGTTGCCTGGCCGGAAAAAAAAACGAACCAGGTCGCGGTAGACCTGCCCAAAGGATTTTAAAAGGGCGGCCTATCTGGACCGTTGATCTGGAGAGATCGGCGGCCCAGATAGGCCACCGTTTTCAAACGTTTTGGGTGGGAGTACCGGCCCTACCCCACCCATTCGACCTTCCACACTAGGAACTGCCGGCGCGCCCTCCCCGTCGCCTCCAGCCCATCACTCCTTCAGGCCGTCGAGCCACTCGTCGTCGTCGCCACCATCCCTAAGAGCCACCGGTAAGTTAGCAGTTTCTTCTTATTCTTCTTCTTCTTCTTGTGCTAACTGCCGTGGTAGTTAGTGCGCGTGCAATGTAGGGCGCGTGCGCGGTAGTTGGTGGGCACGCGGCAGATGCTTCGGTAGTTAGTTGGAGAGAGAGGTGGTAGGGCGCGCGCGGTGGTTGGTGGGCGCACAGCAGTTGCTTCAGTAGTTAGTTGGATATATATATATTGTCACATCACTACAAACTAAAAGAGCGCACTTTGCGGAACAAAGAATAAAAGCAAAAAACGGGCACAGTGATAACATGCAAAAATAAAAA